TTATTTCTTTCCAAGCCATCACAAAACTATCATCAGCATCGTCAGCATCAGCAAAATTATTTATGAGGACATTATAATTACGCGGATTTTCTATAACTACTGTTTTATGATTGTACCATTTTTAGTGTATTCGTATCGATGTACCAAACAAAAATTTTCAGTGTGTGATGGTTTAAATGTATGAAGGCATTAAACAAAACTAAAGTGAACATGGCAATATTGGTATGAGACTCGAAATGGTATAAAAGTATCTCCAGTGGCTCCAAAAACTAATAGATTAATGCAAAAGTGACACTGAAGATCTGCTGAAATATCACCCTCACATCCGAAATAGAGACGACTGGTTTATTTAATTTTTTAGGGTACGTTAAAACGTGCTAGTAGGTATACTTCTTTCCATTCCAAATTTAATGATAACGCCAAAGTGTGGTTGGGGATCTCTATAGGAGAGGAAAAAAAAGCAGGAAATACGCAGAAAATGAAGGAGGGTAGGTAATATTGATTTCAGTCGAAAGGGTTCAATTTAGTGTATTGATACTGGTTTTTGACCGTCGAAAATTCCATTCCAACTCATTGTAGTGCTAATGGAAGTAGGAATAACCCTAAAATATGTGAAAATGGACAAACAGTATACCCCACACTCAGATTTCCATTGTATTACTTAGGTATATACCAAAATTTCGAAGAACCGAGGAAAATACAGGAAAGTCGTAGGGTTAGTGACATTCGAGTAGAGCAAATTGATACCTTCCTATTCGTATAGATATGATACCAAAAGTCCAGTATATTTTCTGAAAGAATTCGTTCAAGATGAACTAATCAATTTGGAAAATGGTGTGAAATTTCTTTATTACGGAGCTAATTTAAAAGTGCAATCATGTCTAAGCCAATAACCCAGATTATGGGTGGGATCGCGGTAATAATGGCAAGAAAATTATAATTTAAACACGCCGTCGGCGACCGTAGTCAAAAGTTACAGGCGCATACGAAATTTTCATTGAGAAACTAATTAATTTTGTGTAATAAATGTAGTTGATGAATCACGCGCTCTTTCGGTATGCCCACCTAATTTTTTTAAATTCCTGTTTATTATTTTATACCTACTCATCTACAGACCAACTAAAGTGACGGCATTGTTTATCTTCTTCCATGACGTCAAATTAATAACATTTAAAAATTAGTGGTTTTGATGTTGCAAGGGAACTCTTACGAAATGGGATTTACGACACCGTTGCATTAATCATTATACCGATTACGAAAGAATGAGCGTAGGAGTGACGAATAAATTGAAAATATTGCCGGATAAAATAGTCATAATCGTCTTGGACGCATCACCTACCCCCTAATTCTTAATCGTGACTCCGTGATGCCAAATAAATAGAAATTTCCCAGCACCATAAATGGATGAATATTAATCATACTCCGTTATGCCCTTTAAAAACGAATGTGACAGCCAACAAATAATTTATTCCCCAATAAAGTATGCAATGCGATTTATGGCGCTCTATACGATTTAAATGTCACAGTACTGTCTTTACCCATATAGTGGCAGTATTTTATTATAATTTCAGTTCAAATTCTTCAAAGAAAACGGGTTGGTAAACTATAATTGAAAGTTCAACTATCTGAAAGGTCCTGTTTCTAAAGATCTGGCTTTGTTGCCAACAACAGATTGCTATTAACCTGAACAAATTCAAGGTTGTCTCTTAAACGCCCACAACTATCTTATACATTGTCACTATTCCTGTTATTGATTTGAATTGCAACATTTTGATAGGATCACTATTTTGTTAGAACATTCATAAACCGCAAATTCATGATGGGGCACGAGTACCTATCGTAGTGAAAGAAGGCCTCTTGTGGCTAGATATTAACTAGGTGGTATCAAAAATTACCGACCAACCTTTTCTGATGCCGTAAATTAATAAAGGCGATCAGCTTCATAGCAGGAAAAAAATCGCACATATTTTCAAACTCGCATGGTAGCCAATTTCAACTAATTTGGTTTTGTTTTAAATTATACTCCATCAATCATGCCTTCTCATAGCATTATTAACGTGTGTATACGTGCACATTAATTACAATGATCGATAGGTTTACTGACCAGCTTTCTAAAAATCGAAACTGATTTTTTCACTTAAATATATTCTAATTTTAGCCAACTGGTTTCGCTTGAAACTCGAGAAAATATGTTAAAAGATGAAAGTTTTAGTGCAGACAAATGATGCAGATCTCGAAAGTGTGATGAACCGAAACGCACCTTGTATTGTGGAATATGCCGACATGCCTGAAATCGACAGTAGATTTTAAACTTGTACTATAAATATAAAATAGTCCGCTTCATACATCTCGATTTATTCATTTGCAAAATTGAAAATTAATTAGGTACTTACAAAGAAAAATTCATCCTGCAACCGGCGCCCTATGAAATTCCGACGCTTTTAATGACAATCATCATTCCTCCAGGCTTGAAACCCTTTTTATCCCAAACTTCATCCTTGATGAGCTTGTGTTCCTATGTGTGGTGTTTGACCTGAAAAGACAATTGCAATACAGAGAATTGCTTGAAGACATCCTTGAGGAATTAATTCACAGAGCTAAATAGGCTCGACAAACAATAAATTCGATTACCATTATAGTGTCTTTAAATAACTTCCCTTCGATTTAATACCCGCCTGTGCATTTTGTTTTTGTGTACACTAATGAAAAGCTACGCCAATATCCGTCATGCCATGGAATGTCCGCTATAAAACAAATCAAATTCTATCAAAAAGTATTATATTTAGAACAGTGAATTCAACATAAATAAAGACCAAATTACTAACAAGTTAAAAAGTAATCGTAAACGATTTACATAAAGCGCATTTCCACTTGCATTCATTTCCCATTTGTAAGATGCAACTTCTGTTAAAATCGTAAAAATCCGTCCACAAATATGAAAGATAACGTTGCACATGAGCAATCCATTTTTGACATGCTATTTCAATTTCAGTTTATAAGAAGAATTTCATTTCAATGCTTTTCTAAATAAGAAAGTTGGAACTGCACATGCGCAAACCTAAACCTAACTAATGTTAGATTTTCCTTTGTTCCAAGCGCCAAAGTATCAAATTTCACTTAAATGCTTCCATAGATAAAAAAAGTTGGCACTGCGCATGCGCAAAACCAAATTTTGAAATTGGCGTTTGATTTTCCTTTATCCCAAGTGCCTATGTATCAAATTTCGTTTTAAATTCTTCCATAAATAAAAAAGTTGGCACTGCGCATGCGCAAAACCAAATTTTGAAATTGGCGTTTGATTTTCCTTTATTCCAAATGCCTATGTATCAAATTTCATTCAAATACTTTTATAAGTAAAAAAGTTTGCAATTCGGTTTATAAATGGTCGAGATGCGAAAAGGGCACTGTGAATTTTGAATCGATTCGATTCCACTTTTGGCATTGCGTATTATATGGCTAAAGCTATGCCCATATTAAATTTCATGCAATTCAGTTCATAACTAACGGAGATGTAAAAGCGATCGAACATTTCTAAACAAAGTTATCGTTCACACGGGCAGATAGATGGACAGACAGACAAAGGAATAGACGGACAGACCAACAGGCAGACGACAGATAGCAATGCAAAATTATAAACGATCTCTATGATCGTTAATAAACGGCAAAAGTGTAAAATTATGGAACATGTAAACAACGGTTTTTTGTTTTTTTTACAATAACTTTTTTTGTAAGCGGTACAGAAAAAATTCCTTCCTTGGTATAAGACTCGACACCATAACGAACCAAATAGCGAAAAAAGTAGAACAATAGCTCTTAAGATAAAGAACTAGTAGCGTCGCAAAACGAGCGGACGGACGGACAGCCGTACGGACGGACGGACGGACAAAGTGGCCACAATAGCGCATTTTTTTTAATTTTTGTGGAAATGCGCTAAAAACGGTTTCCTAATATAACAATTTACAATAAATGTTCGAATAAGTTACCATTAACTGCAAGACAGTAACCAAGTCGATCATAAAAGCCATTTCGAACTGCTGCTAATCGATAACTGGATATCTTTTTGTTTCCATGGCATCGCAGATTATTGAAAAAGATGGGGGTTTTATTTTCCAATTTTTCGTCTTTATTATGCAAAAAATTGAAAATTAATAGGGTTGATTGACGTAAAAAAATTTTTCCTACAAAAAACCTTAATACATTTTTACTCTAAAATAATTTGGGGAGCCAGTAATCGCATGTTATGAATTTTACATTGAAATCCGTATGATGCGTTACGCAAGTCACAACCCTGTATATGCTACCATTGAATCATCAATGATGCTACGTTACTACCTACGTAGATCCATTTGACGAGAAAACGGTGGCGAAGGGATGAACATAAGTATTTTCAGTTTCGAAACTGGAAGAATCTACTGTTACTGCTTCTCTACATCTCGTAAAAAACACGTTACATCGGGGGGATACCTATCCAATTTTAGTAAGCTAACACCAAGTGTTTTTTGGAAGTACAATGATAATGGTTAATGGTCTTTCGCATTTTCCAAAAATAAAATACACTATTACGAACGTCTGTCTCTCCGGATCACTTGGGATGTTGCCCATATTTGAGTTAAATTTTCAATTATTCACCAATTGTCTGAAAAGTGAAGCAGTAGCACTGAAAATCTGAAACCTCTGCATTGTTCTTTTACACACAATAAATATGCGCAAAGATCAAACATAAGACGTGCAAGATAAAAATAGGTTCTAACAAATGTTTCATGCATCAGGCGAGAAAGAAAATTGCCATCGAAAATTGTAATTAAAATAATTATAATTAACTGAAGGAAACAAAATTAATCTTAGCCAACATGACGTGACTTACTGTCCGAATTTAACTTTCGGTAACCAGAAACGTTTTTTAAAGGTTCATTTCGAAACTACATTAATAAATGGCATTATATTATAAAAGGTCTCGAAGATAATTTGGCTCCAAGTTACAAAGTTCACTTTTTTTGTAGAATTGGATTGTGCGGTTTCGAGAATCCTATGCGAGATCAAAAAACCGAAGAGTTCAAGAGGCATATAGGACACGTAAACGCTATCTCTCATTGTACGCATTTTTTTCTCAATCCCTTTTTTAGGGCGTTAAAATAAAAATGGACGATGCGGGAAATATTCTCATTAAGCGGCTATCAAAATGTAATGTCTACGTAAAAAATACGGGGCAAGACGACGAAAATGCTATAGGGAATGAAGTTCTAAAGTTACAAGGCTGTGCGCTTGAACCAGAAAAGCCGTTCAAGGTATTTTTTTTCTTGTACACTCGTAAGTTGATTAACTGATTTTGAAAATGATGCAGTTATTTGATATGAAGAAATTTCAATCTAATGTAAATCGGGAGCTGCGGAGGGCGTATCCTGATAGGCGAAGATTGGAGTGTCAGTGTCTTAGTGCGATCGCTTTTGTCAAATCGGAGCCAGAACTTCTAGAATGTCCCATATGGGTTCTTATTATAAATGTTGTAGCTATGGATATGTTAAAATCCAAATTACCACCAGGTAGTAGCACTTTCTAACATTTCGAATGATTAATTATGTTTAAAATCAGTTCAAAGAGTGGTCGATATCAAAAATAGGCCCAGAATTCCAATTCCCGACGAAGATCCATACAGTGTCGCTGGAAATGGCAGCGGTTCGTCAGGTAGTTCAGGATTTGCGGGCACGATGGGGGTGGCAGCCACGCGAGAGCAGCTCCTTTTACAAAGCCAACATCACGCTCAACGTCGCAGTGAAAAACCTCCCAAATTACCGCCCAGAGAAAATTTATACCCGCACAACATTCCAAAGGTTCAACTTAACCCATGCTAAGTACTGCTACTTAAATCTTCTATTTTAGCCTGACTATGACGACGCGGAAGATGAAAGCAGATTAAAACCATTTACCTTCTCCAGAGGGAAAGAGAAGTCAAAAAATAATAACAAAAAATATGGTGAGGGCGGACGACGAATAAGCTGAAGCTTAATTTATCCTAACATGATTTTTAGATGACCCATACTATTGTGGACTACGTGCTCGTGTTCCGAACTTTGTTTCAAAATCTAAGGGCAAAGAAGCCGTTACGTCCAAACGATTTTCCGTGAGTCAACAGCAGCAGCAGCAGCCTCCGCCTTTACCGCCTACACATCAACACCTTATCCACCCACACCACATGCACAATAATCAGCCTATGTGGCACGCTAGAAGTTTTGAAAGTGGTATAGGTATGCGTGGTTCATTTTTTAAAATTAAATGTAAATGGTTTCTTGCAGATGTAGAACAGACGGAGTCTCCCTATAACCAGATATATGGTCGTCTTCGCATTCCCACCAGGGGATACATTCCTAGTCAGCCCCGAACAATGTATATAGGAGAATGGGACTAATCGATTCATATATAGTTGAATGTTCATGGAGTTGTCTCCATGTACCTACGTGTAGTGTAGTGTGTGTGCATCACAACTGTACATATAAACTTTGTAGACGAAAACCAAAAAGACTAAAACGACTCCACTTTGCGTGATGCCTTTACAATCACGTTTTGGTATACATACATTACATAAAATACGTATATATCTTGTGTAAAATATGCTGATTTGTACGCGTGGAAATATTTTTCATAATTTATATTTAAACAATATATGGTGATGGAGCCCTGTTACAATAGTTCATTTCTGAGTTCCCTGTTTAATATTTAAGGTCGTATCTGGCTAATATCGCATTAAAACTTAATGTTATCATAGAGGCCATAGTACTATGCAGAAACCTTAAATTCATATCTATCAGTTACAAAGTATACAACCAGAAATTGTTTTTCGCCAACTATGGAAACGATATGTTTTATACATCATGTATAAAACACAAATTGATCACAAACCAAAATATATACGCTGTACTTGCGTAAGCACATCTATAGATGTACACTGTGTACAGTAAAAAATTCGATGTTTTGGAAACAAATGTAGGTACCTATACTAGTGAGCAACTTTGCGTCGATATGGTCAGCTCTGATATTTAAATTGTGCGCGTCAAGTCTAATGAGTTCCTATTAAAGTTTAAATGAAACCAAAGATGAACCGTTACAGTTTTCATACTCCAGAAAGGTTTAAGGAGGATTTCTCAAGTTGTTCGAGATCAAACGGTAAATATTAATTGGTTCATTTGCATGCAGCATGGTATTGTTAGACAGCGTGATATTATTGTACAGTAGGTAAGCGATTTTAAGAGCGCTTTCGTAATTTGTTAGTGCCTCCGAAAGTTTCGCAGGATTTCTAAAAAGAACAAATCTAATGCATGTGGTGGAATAAGTTGCATAGCCATAGTTTTTGCTTTAAAACTTTTACAAAACATACATATACCTACCTATACCAACATACTCGCAGACTATAGGTCAAAATTACGAATTACCTACATTCTTTCTTCTAGAATTGGACTGTGCGGCTTCGAGAATCCCATGCGCGATCCAAAAACAGAGGATTTAAAGAGACACATTGGACATGTAAGCTATTCTTCTGAAAGTCTTTTATTGGTTCGTTTTTCTAGGGCGTGAAAATAAAAATGGACGATTCTGGAAACATTCTCATTAAACGATTATCAAAATGTAACGTTTACATTAAAAATGGTGGACAAGATGAGGAAAATGCAATAGGAAATGAAATTTTAAGGATGCCAGGCTGTGCGATTGAACCAGAAAAACCGTTTAAGGTATCTCCCCAGTTTTAGTTCGTCGTAACTTATTAATCTTGAAAATAATGCAGTTGTTCGATATGAAGAAATTCCAATCTAATGTAAACCGGGAGCTTCGAAGGGCGTACCCTGATAGACGAAGATTGGAGTATCAGTGTATTAGTGCGATTGCTTTTGTCAAATCGGAGTTACAACTTCTAGAATGTCCCATATGGGTTCTAATTATAAATATCGTAGCTATAGACATGTTGAAATCCAAATTACCGCCAGGTAGTATCTATCACTTCTATTGTCCGTTACTAATTTCTTACATTGGTAATCAGTTCAAAGAGCGGTTGACATCAAAAATAGGCCCAGAATTCCGATTCCCGACGAAGATCCGTACAGCATCGCTGGAAATGGCGACGGTTCTTCTAGAAATTTGGGGTTAACGGACACAATCGGAATGGCCCCCAGTCGTGAGGCACTCCTTTTACAAGGTCAACACTTCCCACGCCGCAGTGAAAAACCTCCTAAATTACCTCCCCGAGAAAATTGGTATTCCCATAACATCCCAAAGGTTAATTTAATTCTGTTACCTGTCCATGATTACTTATTGGGTTTATTTTAGCCCGACTACGACGATACGGAGAATAATCGGAGCGTCAAACCATTTACTAGAGGCAAAGGGAAAGCAAAAAATAAGGATAAAAAATATGGTAAGGTGAACGTTTCGTAGTGTACATACGCTGAAGTTTGCATTTTTAGATGATCCATACTATTGTGGACTTCGCGCTCGCGTTCCCAATTTTGTCTCCAAGTCGAAGGGGAAAGAGTCAAATACGTCGAAACGATTTTCTGTGATCCACCACCAGATTCCTCCACCTTTGCAGGCTAGGCATTCACTCTATACGCATCAGCATCATTTGCAGCACCAACCTATGTGGCATACTAGAAGTTTTGAAAGTGGGATAGGTACGATTTGCCGACTTTATCAATGGTAGGTAATAGATTCCTTGCAGATGTGGAACCCACGGAGTCTCCATACCAGATATATGGATTCCTTCGTCCGCCATCCAGGGTATATAGCACTAGCACCATCAATCAACCCCGTGCAATGTATATAGGACAGTGGAACTAATAGCTAGATTTATACTTTCAATTGCCAGTGCGTGCTGAACCTCTGTCGCGATTATATAAACAAGAACTTGTGTATTATATATTAAAATTAACAATATATGGTGTTGGAGCTTAATTATTATCTACATTTACTTTTATTTCCTTTATAGTTCAATTTTGCAAGTCATATTTTTAGATTGATGAGAACTTTAACTAGAAATTCTCATCCCTATATAAAATCGCAGAGAACAAATAAGTTATTTACACAAATAATAGAAATGACTTTTCATTTTTAATCTATGAGAGGGCACTATTTTTTTCCTAGACGGTAGGTAAGTATAAAAACTGTGATAAATAATTAGATAAGCAAGTGAAATGCTATAATTTGTGCTTCAAAGTTTCACAATGATGGTCTGCGTACCGTTTTTTATATGTGATATTTTATAGGTACGAATTGGGTAATCAAAGCATAGCAACATTTTTTTTTATAAAGTCACTTAAGAAAGTCACCCACTTAATTTTGGTCCCAAATACCATTCACAAAAATAAACCGGAGGCAATTACTTTCAATTTTTTAAATATACTCTTAAGATTGGTAGTCGCAATGGTGGGACATGGATTAGGAAGAAAAATGTCTCTATTATTTAGACATGCGATTATTTAATAAGAAATTGGTGATCATTTAAGAAGTTTCTACTTCTCTGTGCGTGTACCTGCAGCAATTTCGCTGAACAATATAGACCTTTTGAATCCCAACAATTCGGCCTTAACCAGTGACCACGAGTATTAGCTACCACGGTTTGACCTCAACTAAAACCGGTCGAAGGCCATTTAGTAAATTCCTCCTGCCCAATGAAAAAGCAAAAATAACAACACGAAGATGTTCAAATGCGCCGGATTACGTAATTACAGTTTGATAATTGTACGAAAATAATGGATGTTATATCAGTAATGCACGGTAAATTGTATGTCAAAGAAACTTATTTTTAGGAGATTTGCGCTAAGTCGCCTAAATCAAGGATAAGAGCTATCAACCTACTGGCGAAACAAGGGCACTTGACTAGCGCAGATCTACAGGGGTTGCCGATATATATGTTTATATTGCAGAAGAAGTTACAAATGAAATTCGTTTCGAATCCGAATGAAAGGAGAAATTAATTGAAGCAATAGATAATTTTAAAATGATCAAGTAAGATTTAATTCAAGCTGAAACATCTCTGTAACTGTGTACCTTTTTCTAAACGCAATAAAAGAACTAACCTACTGTGTAACAAGCACCCGTTTTCGTACAAGGGATTATACCAGTTTTAACGAACACACCGTACCTACATTTATAGAACCTATCAGCATTATTGAACACCCGGTACTCCTACGAATTCAAACGGGGGCTTTATTACGAAAAATTGTAGTTCCAGACCTATTTATCTTTTAGGCGTTGACAAAAAACCGTATCTAATTGATCAGTTTGCAATCGTTCCCGTAGAGATATTTGAATTATCTTTGCAGCATCCCATAGCTTTCGTTCCTTGGAAGACGAAAGTAAACGAATATTGTACAATTAATTAGGTAATAATTTATTAACCAATTTTAGTTCGCAATGGTAATTGAAAACTAGGATAGAAAGGGACAAGGTCGTTCGCTTGCACGTAAATAAACCTGATGATAACCTGTTGCTTGAACCCAAAATACCGGGACGTGATCGGTGTTAACTATACATTACCGAATTTGTAAATTTGTTTTAGGAGAGGCCTTTTTCCTCTTGTATTTTTGCAATGTTTGCGTCTATTTTTTCCGTTTTCACCCTTTGCATTGAATTTCACCGCGCCGCTTCATTTTTGAAGCTAAGCGTTTGACATTTTTTTCTTCCGTTCCGTTAATGATAAAATGAGTTGGGTATAAGCAATACGAGGAGGAATGATCTAATAGACGTTCCGGCCTTCTGTATGTGTGTGATAACTTTACCTTTCATACTGTATTTTCATCTACACCGTTTCATGTTAAATTAATGGTAGGCAATGTAGGAGCAGTATACACTGCCTTTTTTTGAGCCCCGAAAAAAACATTGTCTCAGATCGACCCGGAAAAAAAATTTCTTATAGAATGTGGCCTGTAGAATCCATAATTTCAAACAGTTCCAAGATTGCGCTACTAGTTCAAAAGTTACAGCCCTTTGAATTTTTTTTCGAAATTGGTTTCTAGTCTGTAACTTTTGATTGAGCTGATCGAAAAAGTACGAATTGATTTGGATTCTACGCACCCAAATTAATAAGAAAAAGTGTTTTCCAGTGAAATTTTGGTGTAGTCGATTTTTGGTAAAAAAGGAAGGTTATACACTGCCTTTTTTTGAGCCCCGAAAAAAAAATTGTCTCGGATCGACCCGGAAAAAAAAATGTCTTATAGAATGTGGCCTGTAGAATCCATAATTTCAAACAGTTCCAAGATTGGGCTACTAGTTCAAAAGTTACAGCCCTTTGAATTTTCTTTCGAAATTGGTTTCTAGTCTATAACTTTTGATTGAGAAGTCTGATCGAAAAAGTACGAATTGTTTTGGATTCTACGCACCAAAATTAATAAGAAAAAGCGTTTTCCCGAGAAATTTTGGTGCAGTCGATTTTTGGTAAAAAAGGAAGGTTATACACTGCCTTTTTTTGAGCCCCGAAAAAAAAATTGTCTTAGATCGACCCGGAAAAAAATTTTTTCTTATAGAATGTGGCCTGTAGAATCCATAATTTCAAACAGTTCCAAGATTGGGCTACTAGTTCAAAAGTTACAGCCCTTTGAATTTTTTTTCGAAATTGGTTTCTAGTCTATAACTTTTGATTGAGAAGTCTGATCGAAAAAGTACGAATTGATTTGGATTCTACGCACCCAAATTAATAAGA